CAATTCAGGCAATGTATCTTGGATCTTGGCTGCAACATGTCTCGTTTGGATAATGACTCCAGGTGTAGGTTTCTTATATAGCGGTATGGCTCGAAGAAAGAATGCCTTATCTTTAATAATGCTATGCATTTTGACTATTCCCATTGTATCCATACAGGTAACTTGCTAGTTATTTACTATGTTTTCTTTTAATTTATTCTATTTATTTATTTACTGTGTTGTCTTTTAATTTATTCTATTTATTAATAACATTAATTTTTTTTTCTTAGTAGTACATATGTGGTTATAGTCTCGCATTTAGCAAAACTGGTGGCCCTTTTATTGGTGATCTGCGAAACGCCTTTTTTTTGAATCTTCAATGGAATTCTAGTGAACCAGAAGCTGCGTTTGTGAGTAAACAAATTCCGGAAGCTGAGCTTGCAATTTTTGAGTGCATGTTTGCAGTTATTGCTTCTGAATTGATCATTGGAGGAGCTGCAGAACGCGTAAAACTAATGCCAATGATCATATTTATATTCATTTGGTCTACTCTTGTTTATGACTTTATTGCCTCATGGTGCTGGTCAGATCATGGTTGGTTTACGCAATGGGGTGGCCTTGATTTTGCTGGTGGTATTCCAGTATATATATCATCTGGAGCTGCTGCTCTTGCCTTTTGTATTTTTCTCGGAAGACGAAGAGAAACTTCCAATCCTCATAACATTGTTAATGTAATTCTTGGCACTCTATTGCTATGGTTCGGGTGGTTTGGTTTTAACGGCGGCACTGCAGCAGCTTCCAATAGCCGTGCTGTTATGGCCTTTATTGTCACAAATCTTGCTGCTTCATTTAGTGGACTAACTTGGATGTTTTTTGATTATCATTTTGAAAAAAAATTAAAAGCGGTTAGCTTTTGTAATGGTGTTGTTGCAGGATTAGTTGCCATAACACCAGGATCGGGTTACGTTGATCCTTACGCTGCCGTCGTTTTTGGCGTACTTAGTGGGTTTATTTGCAATATGGCTGCTGCTTTGGTAAAAACAAAGATTAAATGGGATGATGCTATGGACGTTTTTGCTATTCATGGAGTTGGTGGATTTCTTGGAAGTATTCTCACGGGATTTTTTGCTAATAAAGATACTGTTTTTAGTCTTAATGGTGATAAAATAGATGGCGGTGTTATCAATGGCAACTATATCCAAATTGTAAAACAATTGTCAGGAAGTTGCGTTGGCTTAGCATACTCTTTTACTGTTACTTATATCATTCTCCATGTAATGAATTCTCCAAAATATTTAGGGTGGAATATAGAAGTTTTTAAATTGGATGGAACAGAAGGCACGGACCAACTTGAAATGGAAGAATCTGCTTACTGATTTGCTGAAGAAATTGGTAAGAATGGTGGTAACGGACAAGATATAGCTAACGTTCTTGTAATTAAAGCAAATGGATGAATTATTTTTAACCTTATATTTTCTACATAATGTTTCTTCTTCTAGTAATATGAAAATTTTTTTGGTTTATATAATTGTTAGGCGTACTGCATCTTGAATCTTGAGGTAATTTGAGTCAACTACTTAACATACAATTACCAAACGTAATAAATTATTTAGGAAATTTAGTTCATACAACATTCATAAAAGCTATTATGTTAAATTGTTCAACTTCATTTTC